TGTGTGTATGTGTGTGTGTGTGTGTGTGTGTGTGTGTGTGAGAGATAGCTGGGTGACACAGTCCGCGTACAACAAATGTCCATGTGGTAAACACAGAAGTGACTTAAAAATGGTTCCGGGCATTGCAGATATGGTTTTAAAATTCCCATTTTCAGTTTGTAAATGGTGTCATCCAATTTTTTTGTGGTCGACCTAACTTAACCAAGTTAGCTGGGTTTTTTTGTCCCCAGTCCTAAATGTGTGTGTGTGTGTGTGTGTGTGTGTGTGTGTGTGTGTGTGTGTGTGTGTGTGTGTGTGTGTGTGTGTGTGTATATGACTTTAATGCATAATACTTTGCGGGTATTTCACGTTTACACTCCCTCATTTTAACTCTTTAATCTCATTTCAAAGGGGTTGGGAAATAGAGCAAAAAAAAAAAAAAGAAAAAACTAAAATGGTTATCATGCTAAGTTCAGTTGTTGACTCCCTTCACAATGCCCTTGTACCGAGCAAACACAATTTCCAAAGCATGTTAGCCTCTATCTGATAAATCCAATTAATGTAGACATGAGTACACATCCCGAGCTGAAACGTGCCTCCCTAAGAAGTCAATAAATAGATCCGAGCCCAACTGTGAGCTCAACTCAGTGGAGCAGCATGCAATGATTATTTCTTTATGGCTGACAGGCTGACATTCTCAGCCTCAAGGATAACTGACAGCATCCCGCTTGATTGCCCAACTGGTCCTCGATCCATTTGAGGTTCAGATCAGATCTAGATGTATCAATGAGACAGTTCGAGGTACAAATAGAAAAAGAAAAAAAAACACCCAACACAAAGACGACAAACAGACCTTGCTAAGCAGCTGTACGGCTGAGAAAACAATTGTTATCTTGCATGTTAATTCCGATTAGCATGGATGTAGACAAAGCAGTAGTTTTATCAGAACGGGTACGTGTCTTGGTGAAGGGAAGAAATGGCTTCTCCATATTGACCTGGCTGAACTTGAGGTGATTAGAGACGCACATTCAGAAAGTATCCATATTTGATGCCATTGTATCAAAACTGTATCAGGTGAATAGATACATTGCACGAGTTAAGCGTTAAATGTGTTGCCTGTGGAATGAATAAAGTAACTATGATAGCTTGTCCATTTGAGTCTCAACTCAACTAAACTGTATTTATAGAGCACTTTAAAACAGCCATCGCTGTATACAAAGTGCTGTACACGCAGCAACTATCATATATACAACAATAAAACGATAAATCAAGAGCAAATATGGTAGAAAGCACCAAACAGTAAAACTAAGATCCAGTCTGGGTCATGCTGAGCCAAATGCCAAAGAATGCAAATGAGTTTTGAGACGGGTTTTAAAGATGGGCAGCGAGGGGGTTTGCCGAATGTTCAGTGGGAGGCCGTTCCATAGAGAGGGGCCAGCAACGGAAAAAGCTCGATCCCCTCTGAGTAGTTCTTGGTACTTCTAATAATGTCTGGTCCGCAGACCTGAGGCGCCGGGCAGGTGTGTAGGGGCGGATGAGCTCAGAGATTAATAGAGTCCATCAGACTCGCTGTCATCAGAATCAGAGAGTCCATAAAAGTGTGAAAGCCTCTTCTGCCTGGAACATATCACAACCGGGCAAATGTGCACAGCCATAAAACTGGCTCATTTCCCTTTGGAGCAAATGTAAACAAATGAGGGGAGATTAAATGCCAACCATTTTACAGTCGCGGGTTTCTAATCGCTCCTAGTCAATGGTCTTTACGGTCAAAAAGGTACACAGCGTGCGAATGCAGCAATTATTTGGCTAGCATACAAAAGCTGAGGAGAAGTGAGTGACGGGGGAAAAATCAATTCTCACCGAGCATAAACTGCAAAAC